CTGATGAAATCAAGGATGACGCAATATTTTTTCAAGGCCAAAAAAATTGATTGCAAATTGCCTCATCTGGGTAAAAAATAGAAATCGATTACACCCTGTCACTCCAGTGGGTTTAAAACCGACCGTATGGTGAAAGAAAGGAAACCAAAGCGGCCGTTTCAATTAATTTGCACAAGGGTGTATGTCGAAAAGTAAGGGCTGTTCTTTGGTAATTCAAATACTCGAAGGATAGTAGAATCAGCACTAATGTATCAGAAGTCCAAATATAGTCTTCTACATCATCTGTTTCTTTCTCAATATTACACCAGAGTCTCTCAAAATGCAATTCCTTACACCCATTAATTATAACACATGTAAAAGTAATATCTCAAAAGATTATTGCAAAACAAACAGAAAAGTCTATTGTTTAAGCATCAAATAATCTTATACGTTTGTAAAGGTACGTATATTTCCGTTTTGGATACATTCATACTAAAATACGAATATTATCCGTTTCCTTATAAACAAATATTTGGCATTCATTGACCGACAATAGCCATTGCTACTCGGTCAGTGTTACGGTGGGGTGAAATTTATAAAATTTTTCTTTTAAAATAATATTTCAGGAAAATAGTTCTCCCACGTTCACTAACTGTTATCGCCGTTTCTAGTATTGATGGGAGTTTGCTTTTTAACCTTTTGTTTGAAGTCATGTCGAATGTCAGCATCTTGATGATGTCATTATTTTCACGTTGAATAACATGTTATACCCCTTATAGATGCTGATGCTGTTGAAAATCATCAAGGGGTGTGGTTTCTTTTATTAAGGTTGATCCTGGCTAACACCTACAGCAATCATTCACTCGAAACTGTTAAAGCATCGATTTAAGAAAGCGATCGTTTACAAATGACAGTTTAGAGATTTCTGAACAATTTTTGCGCCATGCATTACAGCCATATGAGTCTCGTTCTACCGATTTTATTTAAGAACATAACACGAACCACTCTATGTTCAAGTTATCTTCTATAGTAAATTTCTTATAAGTGAGCCATACAACGATGACTTTCGTATTTAATAATTTTACATCTTGAATTTTTATGATGGATTTAGGGTAGGTGTTATTATTCGTTTCATTTCAATTCCAGATCAATTTCTTTTTTGGAAAAAGTTTGTGGGTCATATTTCTTGGAATACTTGGTAGAGGATGTTGATCTTTTGCTCAAGATAATTCTTATCCCAACTATTAATACATATGTCATCGACATAGGTACGTCATCAGCCTCGAGTTATAGTGGTTTAAACATTTACATGATCGCGAAAGAAGGTGGTGCGTGGTGAACTTGTCTTTATCACTGGAAAACATTCTGTGCACAAGCCTGAATCTTTTAGCATGTTATCAATTTTACCAACCATTTTCCAAATACAAAGAAAGAAAGAAATTTTACTAATTGTTTAGACATCATTAGTCTAGACGTTATGTCCATGTGGGTCGTCTTTGGGTGAAATTATCAAACGATTCCAGAGAAATAAATATTTCCACTTTGGTCAGACATTTATGAATCTGATGGTTTCGGTTATCTATAATAATAATAATAATAATAATAATGATGAAAATGAAAATGTATTCAGTAATAAAGGAAGCCAATAGTTACAAAATAGAGATTCAAATTGGTGAAGAAATGCAAGTAAAGCATAGTACATCGACTTAAGCTGCAAAATACTTTTAAGAAAAGCAAAGGCAAATGCAACCGACCAGATACAGAAACAATGGCAAGATAACTCACTTCAAGGTCAATACTCTGACCGGACCAAAGAAGATGACGGTAGAAAAACCCCGTAAACATCAGCGTCTACGTAGCACGGGGTTAAAAGGCGAAACCGAAGGTTTTATTCTTTCTGCACAGGACCAATGCTTTTTAATTATAAATAACCAAGCACGTATACTGAAAAATTGTGTTAGCTCAAAATGCACATTTTATGATAAATATCGAGAAACAATTGACCCTCTTGTATCAGGTTGCGCGGTATTGCCACCCACTGAATATAAAACACAGCATGACAGAGTGGAACAATATCTCCAATTGGAATCTCCAAATTTTACGGAAATAAAACGGCAAGAAATTGGTATGAACACCACATAAACTTTTTTACGCAGACAGGACATGTAACAATTTTATAAGACTTCATAATAAACACAGACAGAACAATCAAAACTAATCGCCATGACATCGTAATTAGAGACAGAAAAGCCAAAACGTGCCCTCTTATTGAGATGTTAGTCCCTGCAGACTGTAATGAATCTTAGGAGATCTTCAAAATAAACTATCAAAATACAAGGAACTTGGAATCGAAATCTCAAAAATGAGGACATTAACAATTCCAGTTATAGTTGGAACCATCGGATTGAATGGAAAATATTTCGCTAGAATCACTGAAGTAATTCCTTGTAACCTATGCCTTAAAAAAATACAAAAATTAGTACTACAAGTACAGCGCACAATCTTACGAAAGACCTTATCTATGTAAAATACGTGTGATTTTTTTCAAAACTGCTCAGAGGAAAATGTCATGGAACCAAAGGAAATAATAATAATAATAATAATAATAATAATAATAATAATAATAGCCTCCTTATTGATATGTTAGTCCCTGCAGACTGCAATGTATCTTTGAAGATCTTCAAAAAACTATGAAGGACCTTGAAATCGAAATCTCAAGAATGTGGCGCATGGGAATACAAACAATTCCTGTTGTAGTTGGAACCCTGGGATTGGTTGGAAAAGACTCGAGTAGACTCATTGAAGAGATTCCTGGTAGCCTATGCCTTAAAGAAAAAAAATATGTTCTCACCAGTACAGCCCGCACCTTACGAATGGATTTGTCTATGTAGAATATGTGTCTCTTGTTTTGTTTTGTTCTAATTGCTCACTGGAAAACATCATGATGCCATTTATGACCTTAGGTCTATTGGCGGAACCCGGAAAGTAATGGATATACACCAGGAATTAAAGGAAATAATAATAATAATAATAATAATAATAAAACACTTCGCTGCGGAAATGTACAATCGATCTATTCAAGTTTGTAATAGCAAGTCTAAAAATTGAAATTAAATCTTTAAATAAAATAAATAAATAGAACTAATTACGAGATAAATGTTAAACACTGACCGTATTTTGTGAAAATGAAAAGGTTGTTGAACATATAGTTCCCCGTCGCCATTTTAAAGTCAGTTTTAGCGGAAGCGGAGCCGGGACTTTTACTGCCGAAGGCAAATATTTATGGTTCTTAATTTTATTAAATATGACAGATTTTTTTTTTAAAAATAATGCTTAACAAAGGAAAGGAAAATGTTTGGTTGGTTCAGAAAATCAGTGAGAAATAAAAGAATGAAAAATTGAAGAAAGAGAAACAAACGAATGACTATTACATCGATTTAAAGAAAAATAGTAGGAAAAGAAAGATAAAAGAACTAAGATATAGGAAAAGAAAGAGATAATCCGAAGGGGAAAAAAGAGTGAAACGAAAAAGGAAGGAAAGTGTAGAAGGAAAAAAATGATAATCGAGAGTAAACAATTAAAAGAAAGAAGTAAAATATAGAACAACGTCAGAAAAGAAAGAATAAAAGAAAAAGATATAGGATTAGGATTAGTGAAATAAAAGAAGAAAAGAAAGAATAAAATAAAAAGGAAAAAGAAAGGATATAGGATTAGGATTAGTGAAATAAAAGAAGAAAAGAAAGAATAAAAAGAAAAGAAAGGATATAGGATTAGGATTAGTGAAATAAAAGAAGAAAAAGAAAGAAAAAGAAAAAGGAAAGGAAAGGATATAGGATTAGGATTAGTGAAATAAAAGAAGAAAAGAAAGAATAAAAGAAAAGAAAAAAGAAAGGATATAGGATTAGGATTAGTGAAATAAAAGAAGAAAAGAAAGAATAAAAGGAAAAGGAAAAGGAAAGGATATAGGATTAGGATTAGCGAAATAAGAGAATAAAAGAAAGAATAAAAAGAAAATAAAAGGATATAGGATTAGGATTAGTGAAATAAAAGAAGAAAAGAAAGAATAAAAGAAAAGAAAAAAAAGGATATAGGATTAGGATTAGTGAAATAAAAAGAAAAAGAAAGAATAAAAAGAAAAAAGGAAAAGGAAAGGATAAGGATTAGGAAGCGAAATAAGAGAATAAAAGAAAAGAATAAAAGAAAAAGGAAAGGATATAGGATTAGGATTAGTGAAATAAAAGAAGAAAAGAAAGAATAAAAGAAAAAGGAAAAGGAAAGGATATAGGATTAGGATTAGCGAAATAAAAGAAGAAAAGAAAGAATAAAAGAAAAGGAAAGGATATAGGATTAGGATTAGTGAAATAAAAGAAGAAAAGAAAGAATAAAAGAAAAAGGAAAAGGAAAGGATATAGGATTAGGATTAGCGAAATAAAAGAATAAAAGAAAGAATAAAAGAAAAAGAAAGGATATAGGATTAGGATTAGTGAAATAAAAGAAGAAAAGAAAGAATAAAAGAAGAAAAGAAAGAATAAAATAAAAAGGAAAAAGAAAGGATATAGGATTAGGATTAGTGAAATAAAAGAAGAAAAGAAAGAATAAAAGAAAAGAAAAAAGAAAGGATATAGGATTAGGATTAGTGAAATAAAAGAAGAAAAGAAAGAATAAAAGAAAAAGGAAAAGGAAAGGATATAGGATTAGGATTAGTGAAATAAAAGAAGAAAAGAAAGAATAAAAGAAAAGAAAAAAGAAAGGATATAGGATTAGGATTAGTGAAATAAAAGAAGAAAAAGAAAGAATAAAAGGAAAAGGAAAAGGAAAAGGATATAGGATTAGGATTAGGAAATAAGAGAATAAAAGAAAGAATAAAAGAAAAGGAAAGGATATAGGATTAGGATTAGTGAAATAAAAGAAGAAAAGAAAGAATAAAAGAAAAAGGAAAAGGAAATGATATAGGATTAGGATTAGCGAAATAAGAGAATAAAAGAAAGAATAAAAGAAAAGGAAAGGATATAGGATTAGGATTAGTGAAATAAAAGAAGAAAAGAAAGAATAAAAGAAAAAGAAAAAGGAAAGGATATAGGATTAGGATTAGTGAAATAAAAGAAGAACAGAAAGAATAAAAGAAAAAGGAAAATGAAAGGATACAGGATTAGGATACGTGAAATAAAAGAAGAAAAAAAAGAATATAAACACAGGAAGTAAAAACTAAAAGCGAGAAGGAAAGAAGGAAGTGAATAATCTCGAAATAGAATGAGACAAAATTAAATTGAGATAATTCGATGAAATAAGAAGATAGAAAAAAAACAGGAAACAAAAACAGAAAAAGGGAAAAAAAGGACTAAAGGTTTGAGAATGGGGGAGAGAAAATGAAAAAAAAAATGTTAAAAGGAAAATGAAGTACTAAGAGAAGTGGAAGAACAAGTCCAAACTACGAAAGGGGAAAAAAAAAGAAAAAGAAAAGAATGAAAGAGAAGAAAAATTAAAAATGAAGGACTTCAGATAAAATTATGAAAAGTAGGATTGGAAGAAAAGCGTGAAAAAAAGGAAAAGAGAAAGTTTCAAAAAAAGAAAAAGAAGGAAAATAATTTGATGAAAAATAAGAAACAAAGAAAATAAAGAGAGAAAAAGAAGAAAGAAAAAGAGTGAAGATGAAACAAATGAAGAAATGCAGTAGCGAAAAAGAAAAAAGTGTTTTGTAGAAATAAGTAAAGAAAGAAAGAAAGAAAGAAAGAGAAAGAAAGAAAGAAAGAAAGAGAAAGAAAGAAAGAAAAGAAAGAAGTAAAGAAAGAATGAAATAAGGAAAGAAAGAAAGACAGAAATAAGGAAAGAAAGAAAGAAAGAAAGAGAGAAGATTGAAAAAAAGAAAAGAAATAAGTAAAGAAAGAATGAAATAAGGAAAGAATGAAAGAAAGAGAGAAGAAGGAAAGAAAGGAAAGAAAGAAGGAAAAAGAATGAAATAAGAAAAGAAAGAAAGAAACAAACAAACAAAGATTGAAGAAAAGAAAGAAGGAAAGAAAGAATGAAATAAGGAAAGAAAGAAGGAAAGAAAGGAGGAATTTGGAGTAAAACAATGTTGACTTCTTTGAAAGTAATATATACATATAGTAAATGAGAAAGAAGCAGAAAGACAGATGGTGGGAGAAGAAAGAAAGAAAGAAAGAAAGAAAGAAAGAAAGAAAGAAAGAAAAGATCTATAGGAAAAAGAAAAATGATAGAAGGAAATATACAACGACGAAAGAATTATTTTCAGGTAGGCAAGAAGAAAAGGGATAAATAACTAAAGAGCAAGTAATTCAATGAAAAAGGTCAAACGATGTATATTTTTAAAGAACTAAATAAAGAACTCATGAAGAAAAAATCTTATAGTAGGATTCCTACGAAGAGATGGCGGACGAATGACAATTTATATAAACAAAAAATATACATAAAAGTTAAAATTGTGGAGATTACAGTAAATAAAAAAAGGAAAAGAAAAAATCCACACAAAGAAAAAAACGATAATAAAATGATGAATATGTTTTTAATGATTAAAATACAAACATAGAAGCAAAACAAAACAACGAGTTTTTATCGTAACTAGACTCAATGAACCCAAGGAAAAACAATTTCAAATATTGACATTTCCAATAGGCAGGCTCTTTAAACAAGAAAACTGGTGCAACCGAATCTTTTTTTTTTATTTATTTATTTCATCTCACCATTGTTAAGAACCGAGAAAATATCCCTGAAAATAAGATTAGGATGTGTGAATGAAAATCACATAATTTAGAAATCAAATAATTAAAAAGAGAAAAAAGAACATGATTTATGTAAAAAAAAAAAAGAAGCAAGTTGATAAGTATAACTGTTAAGAACGCTATAAAAATGAAATAAACTATGTAATGGATAAGAGAAATTTTTTTAAAAAGTACTTGTAAAACCAACAAAATATGTGAATTTCCATAATTTCGTCTTCGTACGAACGGAACACTAAAGGAAATGCCCAAAGGTATCAACTCTTGAAAGCGTGACATTTTTCTCAAAAGAACGGAGGTAAAAAAAAGTCGGTAGCGAAAATAAAGCCAAGGGCAAAAATTTTGTCTGTAGAAAATGTCTGCCAGCCTCAATATTTGTATTTTTTTTATATTTTATTATCTGCGTGTTGTTTTCACCGTTTTCAATATGAAGGCTTCTTATAATGTTTGTGGTAGAAATGCTGTTTTTCGTTGTAGCAGAGACGAAAGGAACCTTTAAACAAATGTGAATTCTACAAAGCGTTAACTCTTGCAAGCATCGATAATATAATACTGTGTTATTTTTAATTGTATTTTGTGACGTAGAAATCTGTTATATTCTGGGGAATTGTAAGTCTTTATTCTTTTATAAAGTCTCCAATGATTACTTTGTTTCTGCATTGGTTTTCCAGCTCTTTTGCCACAATGGCTTTTCTCGTATTATATGGCTGTCATACCTATCAACTTAACACAGTTTTCCTTTTATTTACTACTATCCTCGTCATATGTTTTAAATACTTTTCTCTCAGACTATTCTCCGGAATTTTTGCAGTCGAGCTTTATTATAAAGAGATTTAAGATTGTAACGATAATGATAATATTAACCGTTTCCCTATAAGAGAATATTTGCTTTTCATTGACGAGCAGCCAATGCTGCTTTCGGCTGAAATTTATAAAATATTTCTCTTTAAATATTTTTTTCATGAAAATAGTTTTCTCAAGTCCAATAGCTGTTATAACTCTTTCCAGTATTGATGGAGGTTTCCTTCCTAAACTTTTATTTGAAGTGGTGTCGAAAATGAACATTATGATTTTGGCAATATTTTCTCTTCCAGTTACATCTGCTCTTCATCTCTTGGTAGTCGTCATGTCATGGGGTTTTTCTGATTTGGTACAATTCTTTGTTTGTCTGTAGCGCCAGTTCACGATGTTCAAATAAGGATTGTCTTTGCTAAATTCGCAGGCTTCACACGCAGAAAGCGGTTTTTTTTTATAATTTATCTGCATTTCTATGATGAGGAGTTATCATTAAGTACGCTTTTTGTATTCAGAGTATTTTTTTCGACTTTCTTATTGTTATCATATCGCTACGGTCGTTGTAACCTCGGCCTTCATCAAGTGTATATCGATCAGGAAAACCTACAGTGGAATTCTGAACTGAGGCCTTATTTAATCTACGGGGTATACTGACCTCGTTCCATTGCTCATGTCTGGGGATATCTCAACTTGTTCTTATTTTCATGTAGTTCTGTTATGTTATTGGTCGACGGTTTCCACAGATTCCAAGTACACACTGCCTGAACATGGCATTGAACTCACAATTACTATGTCAACGAATTCACAAATTAACGCTTGAATACACTTAGTTATTGTTTTTTATAGTGTGAATTAATTAAAAGTCCTGGCAATAATAATATTAATAATAAAAAACTTACGAGAAAGACGTATCCAGGCAAAGGTCTTCGGAAGATGGATGGAAAAATAAACAGACGAAATAATAATGCAAGTAAAATATTTTATGTTTAAAAAGTGAAAAATACAATTGTCTTCAATTTATAATATTTGATTTTCTGAAATGGTGATCGATTTCTGATAACGCAAAACCGGCAATATCTCCACTTTTACCTTCTTTGATTGAATATGATGAAAAATTTTAAAAAAGTACTTGAAACAGTATACACAATTTCGGCAAGTTCCTTTACTAGCATCCACCTGGCACGTGATGACTTAATCAGGAAAAGAAAATCGTCAAAAGGCTTAACAGACATTCCTTGTTCGTTCTACTGAAAACTTAACTTTAAACGAAAGATTTTGCCTAAATATTCTGTGTAAATATATTTACATATATGTGTGTTTGAGTGTGTGTGTGCACGCACGTGATTGTGTGTCTCTGTTTGTGTGTGTACGTGTATGAATAGGGATTATACATATATAATACAATTTGTAAATATTTTTACTTTGATATATTCATCCGGCGTCATCAGAAAAAGAATTTAAGTTCCCAAAAATTAGCGTGATTCACATTCAGCCTCTGAATGTTTTATCTTTTAGCAATATCGTGTTAAAATTAGATTTGACTAATTTTAACTCAGAATCTGTTCATGGTTTACGTCTCACACACACACTGAGCACACCTCCCCCATATATATATATATATATATATATATATATATATATATATATATATATATATATATATATATATAATATTATTTGATAATCCGTATGGATAATTTTAAGGACAATATAAATCCAAACAGAGCTAAATGTAAGAACAAAGCAAATAATAATGATGAAACTGGAGACTTTAGAAATCCATGGTAATATTTTATTTCGCAAAACCGATTCTTTGTTTCAATAAATCAAGAAACATTCAAGGACCCTAATTGTTAATGCTAACTTGCTGTTGTGAAATCCTTGTAAATTTTACATAACTTTTTCAGTTTTATCGATAATAATAATGAATATTTTATGCGTATTTAATATCTTTTCTCATCTGTGTATATCAAAATGCGGTTTGCCTAATGCTCTGTGTGGTTAAATTGGCCAAAATCTATCTTGTGTTTTTCCCAAGATTTCAACACAAATGAATTTTCATCTCGTCGATGTGAATGAGAAGCTATGTTTTAATAAGTAGATTGCATCTTTATTTATTGAAAATGTCGATAGTTTTTAAAAACTAAATCAAACACTACTTGGCACAGTTAGTTATGTTTTGTGTAAAAATATTTTTTCTTTATATACAGGTGTATTGGTTGGTCTCCTGATGTTGAAGACTTTCAATTTTTCTTGATTTAGCTTATTTTAATGGAAAGATGTTCGAACTCAATGTTAGTCAAAGGAATGAAATCGCACATTTTCCTTGTGTCTAATGCATTCTTAAAGTATCTAAAGTCTGACTACTTTTCGCTTTCCATAAAATTTATCAAAGAGTTATCTGTGCTATAGCAGTTTTATCATTTAAAAAAAAAAATTTTGCCTCAATATCGGTTTTTTAAACTATCGTTTAGTCGTGTTGCGTTTTTATTTTATTATTTATGAAATATCTCCAATATGTTTGTTTATAAGTTTGATAATATTTTATTGATGTTAGGTTCGTTGATTTTTATAATTAATGATTCTAGTGTTTGTAGTTGTTTTGAATATTTTATTTTGTAAAGTATTTTTGTGTTATTGTGATGCTTGGTGAAATGGGATTTAATTAAACGATTATCAATTAAATAGTATGTTAATCGACGCGATAATATAGCAATTGTGTAACCAAATCATGTATTGTTTGCAAATATTATTATTATTATTATTATTATTATTATTATTATTATTATTATTTCGGTTTTATACGCATTTCAGAATTTTTCAGTATGTGTGTTTGATAATTTCTAGTTAGCAAATATTGATTGTGTTCAATAAGAATAAAAGCTTCTGTTTCAGCTTTTAGCATTGCGCTACGTAACCACTGAAAGGTACGGGGGTTTGTATATTATTATTATTATTACTATTATTATTATTATTATTATTATTATTAGTAGTAGTAGTAGTAGTAGTAGTGGTAGTAGTTGTAGGAGTAGTAATATCATTATTATTTAAATATGTGCCGTAAAGCTGGGAAATAATACAAAATAAAAAATTGCGATAAAAAACCATAAACGAAACACACACACACACACACACACACACACACACACACACACACACACACACACATACATATATATATATATATATATATATATATATATATATATATATATATAAAGAAAAAAAAAAACAGATTTAAAAGGTACCATTACAATAATTTATTTCACCAAAACTTTTAAAAGATTTCGGATCATCAGATAAACACTTCCAACAATGAAATTTTCATTGTTGGAAGTGTTTACCTGATGATCCGAAATCCTTTAAAAATTTTCATTGTTGGAAGTGTTTACCTGATGATCCGAAATCCTTTAAAAAGGATTTTGGTGAAATAAATTATTGTAATGGTACCTTAAAGTGATCTGTTTTTCTTTAAATATTAGCTCTGTTCTTCACATTGAGCTCTCAGGATTTCATCCTCCTGGGATTTACCTATTCGGTTTACCAAGTTCTTTATAAATTAACTATATATATATATATATATATATATATATATATATATATATATATATATATATATGCAGAGAGGGAGACATGAATGGGTAGGTAAAATGTACATACAT